TGCTGAAGAGGGGCAAAGATTTCCTTCAGAGCCAAGAGATCTTTGCTCTCTGTCAGAGGCACGCTGAGGCCTGGGCATAGAAGGAGGTAGCAGCGGTGTCTGGAGGTGGTGTTTCCTGAGTACAAGTAGGGCTTCTAACCTGGTGGAGACAAACTGTGTTACAAATCTTCATGGGTGAAAAATAAAGCTTTTAATTCAACCAGAGTCTGATATTTACAACTGTGTTGTAGAGTCCTTTGAAACATAATTTTACCCCCTAAAATCTCTCTCATTTTTATTAAAGAGCCAAATTAAGACCAATTTATTTACTGTATTAATTCCAGTTTTAATTTGGCCTCATAAATACAATTAGAATAGTAATTGATTATGCAGGTTCTTTTAAATCTGCTTTGCTGGAATGTCACGATTGACCTTTAATTTGCCCCTCAGGGCAAAGGAGTCAAGCCATCTAGTTGTCATCAGGTTTGCCCAAGTTCTGCTACTTGCCATCACAAAAACCAAACTCATTAGGCAGATGCTGGTGAAAAAGGAAAGAGGTTTTATTCAAGTGCCAGTCACCTGAGGAGATGGGGGACTCTTGTCACAAAGCCCATCTCAACATCTCAGTGCAGGCAGAGGTTTTTATAAGGAGGGAGAGGCAAATCAGAATAAATAAATGAAGGGGAGAGAGTTGAAAAGTTCTCTACGTGCAATCCAGCATAAGCTATTCTGATAAGGATCTTGTAACTGGTCAAGTGATGTTCTGGTGTTGGTCATCCTCATCTTGGTTATCCTGGTTCTTCGTCATCCTGGTTTTATGGTTGAAAGTCAACAATTCTCCTAGAGCTGGGATGACTGAAGGTCAGAGTCTGTATTCTGAAGTTAGTTCCTAGGATTCTTATATAAACATGCTGTTTATCTACAAGCTACATATTAGTCAGAGTCAGCATTTTACAGAAACGACGTCAAAAGAACGGTGGGTTGGGTTACAGTTTTCCACTGTTTACATATAGGCTTGGGTGAATTCCCAAGTTCTTGAGGTTCCCAAAATATCTTGAGGTTCCTTCCTTGTCATCTCTCAGGAAAGCAACCTTCGCTCCTTACCTGGGAAGACTACCATGAACCATATGAATTAACAAGGTACCAGGCCATTTCTCCATGGGCTCTTATTGGCTTTAAAGTCAATCTTCATTCCTTAAGGCTTTTTGGTGACGTCCAGAGTCCAGGCCGTGTCTCTTTCAGACATGACATTTCAGTCAAGGTCTTGGTTAATAAAACCACAATTGGAAACTGGTCTTATTGAACTCAAGCAAAGAAATGTATTGCCAAGACTCACTCATTAAGAATTGCCAAATTTTGGAGGGATAAGGTAGGGGAAAAAAAAAAAAAAAATATATATATATATATATATATATATATACACACACACACACACACACACACACACACACACAATCCCCATACTGGGGATCCAGCCCGAAACCTGAGCATGTGCCCTGACAGGGAATCAAACCGGGACCTCTCAGTTTATGGGATGATGCTAAATCCACTGAGCCACACCAGCTGGGCCCAGAAACTTGCATTTTTAAAGATGGCTCAGATAAGATTTGGTGGGCTTTCAATTGTTTCTGGAGACACACCTCAGGCCCTGTAAAGGCTTCATTTGTAAATCAAGGACAGTTGTTTTTAATACCTCAAGGATTGACAAACATTGCCAACAGCTGAGGGTCATTTCTGAGAGCCATAAGACCTGGCTGTATGGAAAGGACACATTGATCTAAGGAGGCCTTATTCTCCATCCACTTCCCTTTGGAACAGCAAAACAGGTCTAGTTGTAGAATAGTATTAAACTTAATGGTGTCATTAAGCAGCCAAATCTTTCCATTGCCCATTTTATAGTGGGACCAGGCTCTGTTGCAAAAGAAGCTTGAGGGACTCAGAGTCAAATTTCTCCCAGTTGGCACATATGCATCCCAAAAGGGTACCTTGAGGTATTGTGGACTTGTTCTCTATCTACAGAGAGGCAGATACAGTCCAAGCCAAGAGTTAGAGGTTTCACTGCTAGTCTGGGCTATTTGGGGCCATCCTATAGGCACCCAGTCACCCTATTCTTGCAGGCACCCAGTGCCCCAACAAATATGGCTTGTTTGAGCAAGGCATCCCCTTTTTTTTTCTTTATAGATTTTAGAGAGAGAGGAAGGGAGAGGGAGAGACAGAAAGAAACATCAATGAGAAAGAACATCTATTGGCTGCCTCCTGCATGCCCCCCACTGGGGTTTGGCCCACAATCTGGGCATGTGCCCTGACCAGGAATCAAACTGGTGACCTCTTGGCGCATGGGTCATTGCTCAACCACTGAGCCACACCGACCAGGCAAGGTATCCCCCTTTTATTTTTCATCCTCACCTGAGAACATTTTTGCATCTATCTTCAGACAGAGCGGGAGGGGGAGAGAGGGAAAGAGAGAGAGAAACATCGATGTGAGAGAGACACATCGACTGGTTGCCACCCACAGGACTCCAACCAGGGCCAGGGACAAACTGCAACTGAGGCACGTGCCCTTAGAGGGAACTGTACCTGGAATTCTCTGGTCCGCAGTCTGACACTCTAACCACTGAGCCAAATGGGCCAGAGAGAGGCATCCCTCTTTTGATGATCTCCAGCCTTAGGCAGCCTTACCCGGAATTCCCTCTATTGTGTCTGTCTGTACAAGGGATGCCTAGTACCTTTGTCACCTAGAACAGAAAACTCATCCTACAACTATGGTCTCCAGTAGTCAGGCTAGTGACCTGTTTCCCTGTCTTTCATGTTCCCAAAAGACCTGGCCCTTTAAGAGGACTAGCTGGGAGAGGGAAGCTGCCCCCTTATTATCAGAGCCAAACTAGTTTGGGCTCTCATTTATCCAGCAAAAGGTTTATTCAGACCCTCAGAAAGCAATTCCAGTTGAAAAACCTAAGTTAGCAGCATCCACTTTTTCCTCTCCTGTCCTTAGTTATCTCAATTCTTTTTTTATCCTCAACCGAGGACATTGTTGCATTTATCTTCAGATAGAGCAGGAGGGAGAGAGGTGGGAAGAGAGAGAGAGAAGCATCCATGTGAGAGAGACACATCGACTGGTTGCCATCCACACGACCCCGGGGTTGGAGACAAACTGCAACTGAGGTACATACCCGGGGAACTGAACCCGGGACTCTCTGAACCGCAGGCCGATGCTCTAACTCCTGAGCCAAACCTGCCAAGGATCAATTCCTATCTTTAGGCTAGGGTCTCTCCACCCTTAACCTTTAGCTCCACCACCAGGATTTAAAAACAACAACAAAGAAAACAAACAAACAAACAAACAAACAAAACCCAGCTCAAAGAGTCAGTCTCTTATTTTAAAACAAAGAGGTCTGGAATTCCAAGAAACTCACCCAAGTCTACCCAATGCAAGGCAAGGAGCCAATGGAGCACAGTGGATCCCTGCTGGTACCTAGCACTAGTCAGGGTCTGCAAGATGATTCTGTGTGGGCTTCTCCAGATCCTGACAAACAATCCAACTCACAGCACTATAATGTTGGCAATGGCGGAAAACAGCACCAGGTATTAGACGGGGGTGGGGTGGGGGGTCGTCATACCAGATCTGGGTTCAACAACCTCAGTGCTTGAGATCTGACCAGGAAAGAATTCAGACCCAAGACTCAAACTGTAAGAGAACATTTATTTGGAAAATCACAGAGTAGAAGAAGTAATTCATATTAGAAATGGGCTTAGAAAACAAGTTATAGAGGTAAAGGAAGTAAGTGAGCTTAGAAGTGAGGAAGGTTAAGGTGACATGCCTGGGGGAAATGGAAGGGGGAGGGGAAAGGTGCAGGTGTACTCCCAAGTCCACCCTTACAAGAGTTTTAAGGGTGGAGCTTGTAGGGGAGGTCCCAGGGTCTCATGTCAATAGCACATACACTAGTTTTCCAGGTGTGTCTTTTCAGGGTTGTGGTCTCCACTGATTGATTAGCTGGCATTCAATGCAGCTGGTCCTGAGGTCAGCCCTGGCATTGCTTGTCTGGTTTTGCTGCCTTTCTGGGCCTAGAGTTGAAATACAACTGAGGCCTAGATGTTATGTCTAGGGAGGAAAGATTAGGGAGTCCAAACCACATGACCAGGGATATGCTAGGGGAGGAAAGGTCACCCTGGGGATGAGATCCCACCCTACAATTGTCCTTTGCTAGGCACCCAGGGCTTTCCACCCTGGTGACCTTCTGTACCTGGTTCAGCATCCTTGCTCTGCTCATGTCTGTCTAACTGCCTGACACACTTACTCTATTGGACAGTGAAGCTTTAGAATTACCTAGTTACTTTCTCTTTTAATTGCCAGTTACCTCCTGAGTTAATGCCTCTGCAGAAACAACTAATCTAAAAAGAATATTTAATCCTAGCCCTGGATTGTCAATAATCTTCAAGTTAAAAATTTACATTTGTTCGCCCACGTTAAAGGACAACGAAAGGGTTTGTTACAGACCCAGACATGGAAAGGTCACTTGAATTAGAATTCAAAGTCATTGCTCCCAGCCCCTCCTTTGGGGTAGTTAACGGTTCTGGTTTGAAATAATCCTTATCACTCTTATAGGGATGGACGGTGTCACCAGCAGCTAACCACAGTGAGACCCTGGGCCAGTCCCAGCTTCCCTGTCTGCTCGGGCAAAAAGTTGTGAGGTAGGGGCGGTATTTTTAACACTGTAATTGAGCCTCGCCGCCCACTCGCCAGCGCGGCCCTTCCCCCTCCGCTCCGCGCTGCGCCAGCGAGTTTGGCTCAGACACCAGGACCACGAGTCCACCGCCTTCCGAACCGAGCCAGGGCCCCTGTGGCTGGAACCTGGGGCCGGAGCCCCAGGTGCGCGGCGCGGCCCGCCGGGCCCGCCCACCTGCCGTCACGCGCGGCCCCAGCTCCGCCCCCGTCGGCGCTGCTCGGAGGGCTGCGGGGCGGGCCTTGCGGCCAACCCCAGGACCGTCCTCGGCCTCGCCCTCTATGTAAGGCCCGAGCGGCAGTGCGGCCGCCGCGGCGGGAGTTCTCGAGCCTGCTCCGTTCGGAGACTGTCCCCGGCACGACTCTCGCCCGGCCGCGCGGCGGAGGGCCGGCGCGCGCGCACGCACACACGCGTCCGCGCCCCGCCTCTGCGCGCTGTCGCGTCCCTCGACCCCGCGTCGCGCGCTTCGGGCTGCTGAGGGTGGCATGCGGGACTACGACGAGGTGACCGCCTTCCTGGGCGAGTGGGGGCCCTTCCAGCGCCTCATCTTCTTTCTGCTCAGCGCCAGCATCATCCCCAACGGCTTCAACGGTATGTCAGCCGTGTTCCTGACGGCCACCCCGGAGCACCGCTGCCGGGTGCCGGACACCGCGAACCTGAGCAGCGCCTGGCGCAACCACAGTGTCCCGCTGAGAATGCAGGACGGCCGCGAGGTGCCTCACAACTGCCGGCGCTACCGGCTCGCGGCGATCGCCAACTTCTCGGCGCTCGGGCTGGAGCCGGGGCGCGACGTGGACCTGGAGCGGCTGGAGCAGGAGAGCTGCCTGGATGGCTGGGAGTTCAGCCAGGACGTCTACCTGTCCACCATCGTGACCGAGGTGGGTACCAGCGCCATGCTGGGCCTAGGACCAGGGTGTGGGGAGGGCCTTCTCACTCTCTGAGCTCACCACCCCACCTCGAGCAAGGTGCATGCCGATGTTGGCACGCCCTTTCCCCCAACACACTGCACCCTGGTGATAGTCCTCCATCCTCCAAGCAGGTGACTTCCAGCCAGAGATGCCCGCTCACAGCAGGGTGTCACACTGGCCGTCTATCCTGATGGTCATCTTGGAGAGGGAGACAAGAAGGCCCTGGCGGCCCCCACGAGGTGCCCTGAGGTCCTGAGTGTTCGAAGACTTCCTTTAGTTGGGTGAGGGTGTTGAGCAGATCCAGGGCTTGGACCAAGGGACTGTCACCGTTTTTCTTCCAGCCTCTTGGCATCTGCTCGGAGAGAAAAGAAATAGTCTTTTCTTACTTGAACTTTTAAAGTTAAGGAAAGCATGTGTATAAAATGGTTTCTTCTTTTTCCAGTTACTCCTTCCCCACCCACCCTCACCCCAAATGACAGTCTGATCATGCCCTGTAAGGAATTGTTTACTTTTCCTCAGGGTTAGTTATCAACCTGTTACGATCCATGCATCTGAAGAACTGTTCATGGTGACTTGTTGACATGAAATGCTATAACAGAGCACACAACCTTAGTTCATAGGAAGTGGGGAGAGATCTTTCTCATTCCCCAGCCCCTTGGATTTTTGTTTTGAGTGGCTTTGTCTGTCCCCTGGTGACTCCTAGTCATTAGAGCTGGCTGTATGACATGACGTTAATGGATGAATGTGGATGTGCTTTGCCTCTTATTCAGACAGTGGCACTAACTCCCTGGAGTCTCGGCAGAACTAAGCAAGCAGGCCAGTGAGAGAGCACTCCTTGATCAGCACCAGGGCGTCCAGGTTCAAGTGTCAGGATCAGGGATTTGCAGATTAGGACAGGCTTCCTAGAAGAGGAGGCCTCTTGGTGAGTCTGCGATGATCAGCTCAGCAAGTACAAAGTCTGGAACAGCTAGAAACAACCTAGAAGGAAGGCAGAGTTCAGAGGGAGGAGGCTGAAGGGGATCCCTGCGAGGATCTCACAGCTAGTGACATCATTCTAGTGTCCTGAGGTGTTGACAAAAGAAGCACTGTATGGAGATAGCTGACTGTGCTTTGTGGCCCTGGATTCCACGGAGAATCAACTTCCTGTCATCACAAATCCTCAGTCCTAGCCTTACAAGCAAGTCTGTCACCTTCCTCGAAGCCAGTGAGAGCTGTGAAAGCAGAGACTATCCCTCTGGTGGCAGGCAGAGGCCACAGATGGAAGCCATACTCTTATGACACAGGAGTCCCTACAAATTCTGCTTCTAGCTGCTCATGGAAGGAGGAAATCACAAGAAGTTCATGGCGTCTCTGGATTTTATCCTGATCCCTAGGATCCCTTGACTCACTCTCATCATCTGTTCTTGCTTCGCTGCCTTCATCCTGCCCTCAGCTGAGAGTGGTGGTGGTACCTGCTCCTGCCAGAAGGGTCCTTAGCTTAAGTTGCTGCCAGTGCCAGCTTTTCCATTTTTATATTTAGCCTATGTATTTCACTGCCTTAGCAGTTTCATAAGAGCTGTGTGCCCTTTCACCTACTGACAGGTTGTCAGTCTTTGCTGGGAGGCCAAATTAATACCTTACTTGGCTCTTTGTTTGGGGATGCTGGAATGCATGAGTTGACAATCAGGGCTGCTTGTTTCTTTCAGGTGAACAGTCACTGCTAGAAACTGTTGCATCAACATTCTTACTCCATTTTTCTAAGGCTCATTTTTTTTCAACCCAGACCTGGCATGCTGACCACTGCAGCTGGTCCCAAGCCTGCTGAATGTCCCCACACCTGCCCTCTGCCCCACATCATACGTAGAGATGTTATAAGTACACTGGTATTTAATTCTTAGTCACATTTCTCACCAGAAGATGAAAACTTCAGGTCTCCTATGTGATTTTTGCCTTTGTTGAAATTAAAGTGCTATGTGTAAGTACTAAAGTTGGTGTTAGATTTACATCTTTGCATCTCCTGTAGATGCTGGACATGATACTGGATACAGAGGGTGGGTACTCAGGAAAATTTTTGTTGAATGGGTTAATGAATAATTTAAGAAGTATTTTCTAAAGTTTGAGAACTGAGGAAGAAAAGACCAGTTTCATTCATAGAAGGGAAACTTGAGGGTGGTTGAAAAGCACGGACTGAAATATTTTTTTAATAGGTTTTTATTGATTTTTTTTAGAGGGAGAGGAAGGAAGAGAGAGATAGACACATTGATGAGAGAGAAACATCGATCGGCTGCCTCCTGCATGCCCCCTGTGGGGTGCCCTGATCGGGAATTGAACCAGGACCACTCAGTCCATCAATCCACTGAGCCACACTTGCTGGGCGTGAGTGAAATATTTTAAGGGAAATGTAATCTCCCATCCCATGGACTGGGGCTTGCCCCTTATAAATCTATGACAAGGCAGTGGGATCGGCAGAAAGAAGGGGACGCTATGAAATGGAAGAGATTGTCCTCCCACGTTTGGTGTTCCACGTGCTTCTAGGCTATCCCCTGCTCTGGCCCCTCAGTCATCCCTGAGGTGGGGAATCAGCCACCCCACCTTGCTATTTTGCTCTAATCCCTCAGTGCTTCTTGACTCAGGACTGCCCCTTCCTCAGAACCTGGGTGATTTCTCAGGCTGCCTGGGCCTCCTGCTTTTTGGTGTTTCCATAGCCAATCCATCAGCCAGAAAAGTTCTTTCAGAAATTTCTAGTCTTGCACCCATGAGTTGGAGTATCTTCAGCTGAAGCCTGGCAGTTCTCTTTGTCCCTTGCCCTCTGCCCGTCTCTGCTTCCCAGAAACCCTCTGCCCCAGCCCTTGGCAGGACTCTGACTTACTCCCTGTTGCCTAAAAAGTCTCTTTCTCTGGACTAGCTTTTCTGTCAGCCTTATGTCATACACAGTTTTGTAAGATAGGAGAGCCTCCACTATTACCCAAAGGCCCATACCACCTGAAGGAAAGCCCACACCAACTGGGAAGGTGGGGCTGAGCTGACCCTGGGGTGGAGAGTCAGAACAGACCTGGAGCTTGTACCTCACTGCTATGCCATTGCTGACTTCTCTGACTCGGGGAGCACAGACTCATCCCTGCCTTTGGCAAGCCAAAGAAGCCCCTTGCTGGGCCCCTGAGGCCCCCTGTGTACAAGCAGTCATAGCAGACCCATGTGCCCCTGAGTGATCAGATTCAGCCCTTCTCTAGCTGGCTGAGAACCCATACTCTGGGTCAAAGTTCTGACAATTGACATAGGGAAGAGGCTGAGGAAGCAAAGAAAATCTGTTCTAAAGATTGAAGTTCAGGGTTCATCTGGACTTTGGGCACCCAAGCTCAAAAACCAAACCCAAAGGATACGATGTTGAAGGCTCACAGCCCTTTTATTCATCTGTTCACTCACTCACCTATGTACCAAACAGCTACTGAGCCTCACCTATGCAGGGCACTGCCAGGCATTGTAGAGGTTATGGTAGCAGATACTTCTCCTTGCCCTGACAGCCTTGGGGCACAGATCTGTTATTAATTGCAGCAGGAAGCAGAATGAAATGTATATAGGAATTCGTGGCATTCAGTATGTTTGACCACTGAAGCAGTCAGGCTAGGTACATCTCAGGGAAGAGTTTCTGCCCTGTGGGCACAGACCCTCTTTTCCCTTCTAGCCAACTCACAGGCAAGAACATTTAGTTCCAGGTAAGAACATTCATTATCTTTCTACTTCCTATAAACAAGAAGCAGTACCAATTACATACTACATACAAGAGACACACTTCTCTCTCTTAAAAATTTTAACAATTATATTGAGGTATACATGACATACAGTAAACTGCACATAATTATGTGTGCAATATGAAAAGCTTTCATGGATTTGAAAGGCACATTTCTTACCAGGAGGGTTAGCAAGTTTAGGCCCCTTGCCAGAATCGTTCCCAGATTTTTTCAGGTTGGGTCCTCAGACACTCCCCTTTCACAGCTCACCCAGCTGAGGGGTCACGATGCGAGACTCATGACCTGAATCTTAAACCTACATCTTTAGTTCTAACATTGATATCTGTTATCATCAGCGAGTATAGCCCATCCACTGCACCAAGTGGAGGCATCGAAGAGCTGGTCTGGAGCTGCTTCAGTCATGGCTGGGGAGCCAGGAGCTCAGTGTAGGAACACTAGATTCCTTTGTAAACACAAGCCTGGGGTACATAGCCTGCACTCTATGGGCTTCCCATCCCACCCCGCCGAAGGAGGAGTCAAACCAAGTCCTAGAGTCCACTGCAATCCATTTGGTGGTTGACAGGTGAGTGGATAGTTGGCTACGTGGGACATAGTCTGTGTCTGACACTTGTGTTTATTTTTTCAGACCTATTACCTTTCCTAACCCTATACACAGGCCCCCCATGTGACCTGTAGGAAGTGTTAGCCCATGTTTGCTTTTGGGAGGCCCAAAGCGAGGCCCTGAGAAATGTCAAGAATTGGCAGTTGTGCATTGAGAGCCCAGTTACTCCAGGGAGTTTCACACTAGTGCCCAGAATAAGGACAGATTGGACCAAGTGGCAGGGGTGAAGCCATGGGACCTAGAGACATGATCTGGGGACCTGTCCCAAGATGAGCATTAGTCAGCTTGTCTCCTTGCCAGCCCAGATTTCTCTAAAAGCGTATATAAGGAGACCTGATGTGAGTTGGGAGGACTGTCATGCCAGAACTCACTGAAGAAGCCCTTGTGGATTTCCAGTGTAATTCAGCTATATTAGTCCCCTCTCCTCATGAGAGACCTGTTGAAAAACAGCTTCTGAGTCTTTTTTCATTTTTTCATCTCTCTTTCTACAAAAGTATTGTGTGCTACCTGGGAATAGAGCCCATCACATTCAAGAGCAGCAATTGCCATGATCTGACCCCTGAAGCTCTGCCTAACACCCTACCTAATAATACCCAGAGGCCAGCACCCATCACTGAGTCCCTCAGCCCTGACTCCCCTGCCGCTCCCATCCTGACTTTAGCAGCCATGTCTGGAGCGGGTATCTGGGTACTGGCACCACTGAGGCTGCAGAGGTAGGATGAATGCCATAGCCTGAGCATTCAGACCTTAGTGCTTTGAAATTTTGACCTCCTGCTAGTCTGGACTTTCTGTAAACCTCCAATTCTTCTCTGGGATGGGGGCCACCAACCAACCCATTCAAAGTGCCAGAGTGGAGAGTCAGCTGTGTGGCTGAGCAATCCTTACCATCAGCTGCAGGGATTTTCATGCCCAACTTGAGGGCTGCCCTCCTACCCCTCTGAGGAGCCTGGAGGCTCTGCACACATTGCCCAGCAGGGCAGAGAAGCAGACTTGTTTTCCCTCTGTCACTTAGCCTGGAAAAGAGGCTTTGTTCTTCGGAGCCACATACTCCCCCTGCTTCTCTGTGTTACTGGGGCGCCTGTAGACTCCATGGAGGGCAGGCCAGCAGCCTGGCGCCAGGCAAGCAAGGGTCTGAATTCCCTGGCAGGTGGCCTGCTTGGTTACTGCAGAGCGCCATCTCTGTTCTGGAAACATTTTCTGGGAACCAGCAAACTTCCTGTTTTGGCTTTTCTTCCTCTTTTTGGCTCCTTGTTGGACTGGAGCAACCACACATCTGAATGTTCAGCTGCTTCCCCAAGCAAGTCCGCAGACCTCTTTTTATGGTAACCATAGATGGAACTATGTATTGGGTGCTGGGAAACTCAAGCCATGTAGCCTGTTTCCTACCTACCCCAATCCCTATTTTACAAATGAGGAAATTAAGGTACAACAAGGAGGGGAATCTTGTCTAGGGTGAATAACCAGTTAATAGTAAACTAGAATCTAAACCCCAGCTTCTTTCTTTCTTTCTTTTTAAAATATGTTTTATTGATTTGAAAGAGAGAGAAGGAGAGAGAGAGAGAGAGAGAGATAAACATCAATTGGCTGCCTGCTGCACGCCTACAGGGGATTAAGTCTGCATCCTGAGCATGTGCCCTGACCAGGAATTGAACCGGCAACCTCCTGGTGCACAGGACAGCACTTAACCCACTGAGCCACACTGGCCGGGCTAAATCCCAGTTTCTTGACCTCCAGCTCAGAGCTCTTGGCTGTAATTAGGCCTAGTATTAATGCAGCATCAGGGATCCCAGCTCTAAATATTACCAGAGGGTCCCAGAAGTCACTGGTCCAGAGCAGAGCTGAAGGACAGTTCTAGAAGGTGCATCTCAGGCCCTCTGTCCACAGTTCCTTACTGGATGCCTTGACCCTTAGAGCCCCAGAGCCCTGCTCCAGAACCACTCCTGCGCCACACTGCCAATGACCTGAACCCCAATGAAAGGGTGCCTCCCGCCTGTCCACAGCCCTGGGCTCTGCCCAGTTTCTTCAATGTGATCACGAGAGTCCTCATCTTCTCCTGGATTAGAACATGGGCAGAATACTTGTTCCCTTCCTCAAATTAGAAGCAAAACAATGGGGCTCAAAGCTATGAAAAACCAGACGGGGAGAGAGCCCAGTCTCCATGTGACGGGGGAGCCTACTCCCTGCCTTGCTGCCCAGATCAGCCATTGCTCCCTAAACGAACTCATACCCACATGGTTATGTAAGCAGAGTGCAGGAATGCAGGATGTTCTGATTTTATTTTCCAAGAAAGCTTAAATTTAAAACATTTAAAATAGAAGTGAGTGATAAATCCTTTGCTCCTCTTACAGTGGAACCTGGTGTGTGAGGACGACTGGAAGACCCCACTCACGGTCTCCTTGTTTTTCGGGGGTGTGCTGGTGGGCTCCTTCATTTCGGGGCAGCTCTCAGACAGGTAAGGTGGGTGTCTATCTCCCACAGTTGCAGAGGACCCCAGCACTGTGCAAGGAGTATATATTGCCTGTCCCATGACTTCAAATGGTAGTGTTCTTTCAGCCCAAGGCCTTGCATTTTATTTATTTTTTTCTTTCATCGATTTTTTATTAATTAATTAATTAATTAATTATTTTATTGCATTTTAGAGAGAAGGGAAGGGAGAGGGGGAGAGAGAGATAGAAACTGATGAGAGAGAACATTGATTGGCCTCCTCCTGCACGCCTCCCACTGGGGATCGGGCCACAATCTGGGCATGTGCCCTGACAGGCAATCGAACCAGCAGCCTCTTGGTGCATGGGTTGATGCTCAACCACTGAGCCACACCGGCTGGGCAGGGTCTTGCATTTTCAAAGAAAGAGAAGCCCAACCTATAGTACAGATGCCACACCAAATAAAGAGAGCCATTAACCTCCTCTCCCTAATTCTAGCCAAATAAAGCAACCTGGGCTAAGTGTATTCATGCTGTATCAACTGGATTTGACCAGGAAATATGCCATGATTCACTTCTGCACCAGCTTGGTTGGCCCTCTCTAGGGAGCATGACTCTTTCATGTCCTCAAGCATGGGGGAAGTGGACAGCACACACACGCGCACACAGACTGTATGGTAGCTCTTAAGGCAGACCATGGATGGCCGTTGCCGTATTCCCAAAGACACCGCTGTCTGCAAGGTAAGAATTAGATCTCAGTAGCCAGTAGTGACATGATGGGCAGAGCTCAGGTCCACAGAACTGGTGCCCCTTAGCTAAGAGGCCTGTGGTTATGGCATTTAGTTCACAAGAAGCAGGAAATGTGCTGTTTTCACCCATAAACAGGTTATTTATGGAATCCCAAGCCTATTAACTGAAGGTCCATTCATGACTTAGGGAGTTCATGTACTCTGGAAATTATAGGCAAAATTTTAGAGATTATATGTGACCATTTTTCTCGAGAGAGGTCCAGAGTTTCTGTGAAGTTCTCAGAGGAGTTCGTTACATTGTTTTCCCCCTACCCTAGAGCTTCGGGTTCTGTTGAAGCCCATGGTGAGAAGAATGGCCTTCAGCAATGTCCTTAGCCACAGTGTCACCCAATGGAGAGGAGTCCCAGCATCGTCCCAGCTGGTTGGGGCCTCGAATAGAGAAGTTCAGGATGAGAATGTCATATTACATAAGAACAAAGTCATTTTATCCCATAGCACAGATCATTTCTCACTAGATTTGTCTTTTCCAGAGTATCAACTAGCAATTAAAAAAAGGGGCAAATTCCTGTAGTCACAAGTGAGCATAAAGAGTTCAGTAGGCCATGCCCACTGACTGGCGATTCTAGATGAGCTGTAGACACTTGCCTTTTGAGAGAAAAGGCCTGTGCTTCCCCAGATCCTTCATCTAGCAGCAAGCGCCAGCTGATTACTGATAGTTATTTAACAAACACGTAGCACCTAATATGTGCCAGACTCATAAGCACTGTACAAATTAAATATAGTAATAAGTTCATCTTCATAACCCTATGAAGTAGGAAGTATTAGTATTCTTATTTTACAGTGGGCAAAATGAAACCCAGAGGAGTTAAATGACTTGCCCCAGCATCACACAGCCAGTAAGTGGCAGGGCTAGGATTTGGGCCCGGAGAGTCTTGATCCTCTGTTTTGTGTGGACCCTGCTCTTCTAGAATTTGCCTTCTAGCAAGGCAGAATGTATTAAACAACTAATTGAGGGGAGCACTTGTTACCCTCAGTGGTGGTAAGTGATACAGAGAAGTACAGATGCTAAGAGAGAGTCTGACACAGGAGGCCAGGAGAGGCTGCCCGAGAAGGTGAAGCATATGCTGGGAGTTGAAAGATGAGTAGAAGTTAGCCAGCTAAGGGCGTGGGAGAGGAAAAAGCATTCTGGGTGCAGAGAGCAGCGTGAATTTAAGCGTAGACTCAAGAAAAGTACAGCATGTGTCAGGAACTGGAAAAAAGTCCTCTGTGGTGGAGGTGTGAAGAGCAGTTAGAGACAAGCAATGAGGCAGGCAGAGATCCAAGCAGAAGAGTAGGCGAGCTTAGTAGATGGCAGTTGGGAGCTTGGGCTTTAGTCTCGATGGGGAGCCATTAGGAGTGTTTTAAAGCAGAACTGTGACTATCAGATTTGCAATTTCTAAAAGATTATGTGATAACTATGGAAAAAGGATTGAAAGGGGAAGCAAGAGGGACTGTGGAGAGACTAATTAAGAGGTTATCACAATAACGTATGCAGGAAATGGTGGTGGCTTGGACTAGACTGCAGGTGTTATACATGGAGAGGAGTGGTAGGAGGTAAAACCAACAGGATTTGGCTATGGGTTAGATGCAGAAGATGAGGAGAGGAAGCTTTCTGGCCTACACAACTGGGTGGATTACAATATTCTCTAAAACAAACCCTGGAAGAAGGGAAGATGGTGAGTTCAGTCTGAACATATGAATGCGAGGTGGTTATGAGACACCTACGTGGAGGAATTGAGTATGTAGTTGGCTGTGTGGATATGGTGCTCCATGAGAAGTTTGAGCTGGAGAAGCACGTTTGGGAATTATGAGCTCATAGAATCCTCATCACAGCCACAAACATGGATGAGATTACCTGGGGAGAATGTAGAGTGAGAAGAGGGGATGCCAGGGACTGAGTTTAGAGGTCCTCCAAGTAGGAAATACCCTCCCCTGGGGGTGAGCGGCAGCTGAGACTCAGAGGGATTACTTTGATGTGAAGAACAAGGAGGAGGTACCCCAATATCAGAGTTGAAACTCAATGCATTTTTCTGGGTCAACTGCATCATAGCTTAGGTAGGTCTTGGTAGGCTAGTGTAAGAGCCTGATGACCATGTAACACCCTGATTACCTGAGGAAAGTGTTTAAGTTCCAAAAGATCTCCCAAAGGAACAGAAACAAAACTAAGTGTGTTGACTACATTAGTCTTCAGAAGTGCTAGTACAGTGTTTTTCAAAACTTTAAAAACGTTTTTGTCAGCAGACTTCTTTTAAGTAGGACCATTTGAGTCCAGTAAATGAAATAGCTAAAAGTATGGCTGTTCTGGCAGTGGTCCCTGCCGCTAGTTCCCAGCACCACTCCTCAGGCATGTCTGCACCCACCGGAGGCCTGGGCTCCGTGGGGTGGACCGTTTCTCTCCTCATTACCTCTAAGTAAGCCAGTTGAAAACCTAAGCCAAACAAATTACCTAAGAGCAATGGATTCAACTATCTAGGATACCAATAGTAACTTTTTATGTGGGACAAAGATTTAACCTTTGTTCTGACATTTGAATAAGGCTGAAATTCAGGAGCAGTAAAATAACCCTGGGTTGTCAAAGCCTTTTATCTGACATTGAGTTACTTTTATGTGCATCAGTTATAAGAGACACAACCCTGGCAAGAAGAAGACTGAGATTTCCTGGTTTTGTAAACATGTATATGTTTGATGTTTTGTTGACACACTTTAAAAGTGAATGTTTCAGGCCCCAACCCCAGACTGCCAAGGGACTGGTGCTATGTCAGGGTTTCCTGGCTCTTTCTTTTTCTCACCATCCCTGGGAGAACCTGGGGTGGGGAAGGCAGGGGTAGAGGTTACTGCTCTGCCTGCAGTAAGGGGTTGCCCTTGGATGGCATGTAGGGTGCTCTGTAACAAGAAAATATCAGCATGGGGTAAGGGGACAAAGTCTCCTTCTATACCAGGGTTTCTCCACCTTGACACTATTGACATTTTGAGCCAGAGAATTCTTTGGTGTGGGGGGCTGTCCTGGACATTTTAGGATGTCTAGAATGTTTCCGGCCCTTGTCTACTGTATGCCAGTAACACCAACCCCACCCCCAGCAAACAAAACCAAACCAAAAACAACCCAGCTGCAATAAGTAGAAGCACCAGATTCTTCAACTTGACTTCAAGGCCTGTGCAGTGTGGGCCCTGCCCACCTCTGCCGTCTCCCAGTGCACAGCAGCCTCCAGCCGCACTGGCCCCTCATGTTTGGCATGCTCTGTCCAGCCACAGCTGTGTGTGTTGCTCTCAGTATGCAGCATCCCTCACCCCACCCCCGTGGCCTTCCTTGGCCCTGCAGGCTAACTCAGGGTCCCTGTTTTACATGACCTTGGTTCCTTGTGTCTTTCCTTCAGAGCACCCATCAGAAATTGCTAAATAAAAGGTGTTCTCATGTGATTAATGTTGGTCTTCTCTCTATACTGTGAATATCATTAAAAGCTTGGTCCCTATTCCTACTCTCCCTTGTCAACAAGTACGTTTCTTTTGGGCCTCATCTCAGTGTCCCATCATCAGGGAGACCTTCCCTGAATGCCTGCATCCCCAGCCCCTACCCCAGTCTAGGGTAGGTTCCTTTGTTGTGTCCCTGTGGACATGGTGCTGATCTTTCAGTATGCTTGTCTTAATGTGTACCCTTCAGTAACATGTTACCTTCAGGAACGTGGTTGTTTTATTAAAATGTGATCACTGCTCTGCCAGGTGGCTCAGTTGATTGAGCATCATCCTGTGCACCAAAAAGGTTGCAGGTTCTATTCCAGTCAGGGCACATGCCTAGGTTGCAGGTTCGATCCTTGGTCAGGGTGCATACAAGAGTCAGCTGATCAGTGTTTCTCTCTCACATCGATGTTTCTCTCGCTCCCTTTCTCTCTCTAAAACCAAGTAAAAATATATTCTCTGGTGAGGATTAAAAAAAAAATGTGATCACTGTCTGTCTCACTACTTATAGACTATAAGTTCCTTGAGGGCAGAAACAGCGTCTTTTTAAAATTCAAATAAATCCCTAGTGCCTAGTATATAATAGATGTTTAAATAAACATTCACTGAATGAAAATGAACATCAGCTGCCCTGGCCAAACTCAAGCTGGGTTGAATGAACTAGACTGACTTGTTCTTCCCCATCTGTGGCACTGTCTTTAAAACCAAACAAAAAAACCCCACAAAACATATATATTTTTTTTAATTTTTAAATGAACACAGGTACAGAAAGCCACACAGAACAAATGTGTGGCTTTATGAATTATTCCAGGGAAATAACCTTGTAACTTCCACCAAATTAAGAAATAGAACTTTGCTGGCCACCAAGAAGCTCTGTCCATGTGTCCTTCCCCCTGAGTAACCACTAGCTTGACTTATAATAATCACTGCCGTGTGGATTTTTACTCTACTTTAACTAGGGACTCTCCCTCTATCCTTTCCTTTGTCTCAGTTGATTTTTTAAAAATTATTTTTATTAATTTGTTTTTGTTACAGATGTTTCTCCTTTTTTCCTCATTGACACCACACCCTCCTTCCTGTCCCCTCCACCCCATCCCCAGCTTTGTTGTCTATGTCCATTGGTTATGCATACATGCCTGTAAGTTCTGTGGTTTATATGTCTCAGTTGATTTTTGAAGAACCCTCAGCTGTTCCACCTCTAGAACTTCCCAGACTGAAGTTGGCTGATTGCATAATCATGGTGTAGTTCAGTACATTCCTCTTTTCTCTGCCTTTCTTGCAAATTGACAGCTTGATCTAGAGACTTGAGCAAATTCAGGTTCAGTCCTTTTGGCAAGACTATAGGAGTCATGCAACATTCAGTCGTCTCTTTATGATATGAATAGTCATTAAAACATAATGCCCATATCTGTACCTTGACTGGGGTTTGTAAAATGATGTTCTAATCTGATCACTTCTTTTTCATTTAGTAGTTGGAATACTTTTATAAAATGATACTTCCCTTCATCTGTGATTGGTTACTATTCGCATAGTTTACATAAGAAAGTTAGGCAAATGTTTCTTTCCCTTTATTTACCAGTTTTCATTTATAATGAATTGTTTCTCCATCACCCTCCAAAGTAAACCGGCTCTTTTTAAAAAATGGATTATGAATATATGGATTTAAGCATAATAAATGTGTTGCAATTCTTTTCAATCATTGTCATAATTGTGGCACTGCCTTTTGGGCCACCCCGGTGCTCAGGCTGCATATTGGTCCTGAGGAGGAGGAGGAGATGATAATAGCATGGGGACTGGGAGACTGGTACCCTAGCAGCATTGTCCATGACCCCTCCCTGACTGGTCCTAGGGAAAGGCCCTCTTGGTGGAGCCCATCCCTACCACCATCTCCCAGCTGGTTCTGTCACTTTCCTTCCTAGGTTTGGTCGTAAGAACGTGCTGTTTGTGACCATGGCCATGCAGACAGGCTTCAGCTTCCTGCAGATCTTCTCCAAGAACTTCGAGATGTTTGCCGTGCTGTTTGTCCTTGTAGGCATGGGCCAGATCTCCAACTATGTGGCAGCGTTTGTGCTGGGTATGGCCATCAAGTTGGAGTTGAGTACTTGATCCTGTGCTTCACCATCATCTCACCACCCACTTTCTGGAGATGGCTGTGATGTCCCTCAAGGGGAAGTGATTTCTAGTAACACCAACCAGGGCTTCTTGGAGAACCCAGTTTGTAGGCAGGGAATCTGAGTCTGCCAATTACCCAGCCTCGGGTCCCCAGCAGCACAGCCTAACTGCTGCATTCCAGTTCTTTTCTGGCCTCTGAGGTGTGGCTCTTCGGGCTTATGGGTACTTGATGGCCATTTTACTATAACTCACCCAAGATGCTCCATCAAAAAAAAGAGCCTACTACTGCCCAGGGCTGAGGGAGGTATGACATGAGGAACAAGGGCCAAGGAAGAAAACTGCCTCTTCTGCAAAACACTGTGACAGAGGAGTTGACTGGCAAGAATGAATTAATAGGATTGGGCTTTGGTCATGTGACCTTTGAGTTTTAATTCAGCATTCACCCTGCAGGCTTTTGCCTGTTCTCACTGAAAAGCTACCAGTCTCACTGTTTGGAGGACTCTAACTCTGGCTTACTGGTCTTTGGGCTCCTTGGGTTGTATTGTTGAAAGGATTGTTTCTTTCACAGAATATTTTTTCCTTAAGTCAGCATGTGCAGCCTTAGTAGTGACTTCCTCTTTCATGAATTCTTCCTCATGTGAGGATTAAATTTGAGGCCTAATGTGGCATCTATAGCATACGGCTTCAGGAAGTGATGTCATTTTCATGAGAGAACTGCTGTCACTGAGGGGCCTGAGAGACCGCAATGAGGCACCCCCAGTCAGACTGGGCTGAGTTCAGAATCCCATCCCTTACGAGGGCTTAGAAACTTAGAGATAATTCTGGCTGCTTTCTTGTCTTTATGTTGACAACTATACAAGAGAAGATTAATAAGGAAATAAATTAAAATGCTAACATGATTCCTTCCTTGTTTTGAACAGGAACAGAAATTCTTGGCAAGTCAGTTCGTATTATATTCTCCACGTTAGGAGTGTGCATATTTTATGCAGTTGGCTACATGCTGCTGCCACTGTTTGCTTACTTCATCAGAGACTGGCGGATGCTGCTGCTGGCGCTGACATTGCCCGGGCTGCTGTGCGCAGCGCTCTGGTGGTGAGTGTGGTGCTATGCCCCTGGTGAATACCAACAGGGTATCTTCTGTCTGGCCTTCACTAGGGGGCAGCAGTAACCCACAAATCCCTATTTGGGCTCCCAGAGACAGGAAGTGTAAATTATTTATAAGTTGTTTCAGAATGTTTTGTCCACACTCAGAAAAGCCAAAGACAAAGCAAAATTCCAAGACATCAACAGACTTGTTCTCAGCCTTGGGCTGGGTTGATCTTAGTTCAGGGAGAAGAAGCAGCATCTGAGAGATGATGAAGTCCTCCGTGACCTCCAGGAAGTTATCAGACTGCAGGACTAGACAGCTCAGGCCCTGCTTCTGGCTGTGTGCTGCCGCAGAGGCTCATGACACAGGCACTGGGAGGAGAGGAAGAGCAATGGAAGTGAGAGTTCCCAGGGTGGGTTCACAGAGGAAGCCAGGCTGCAGCTGAGCCTGCAGCACAGAGGAGCTGGACAGACAGTCCATTCCTTCCAAGCGAGGGAACACAGCAGAGGGGCTGAGGTGGAAATTGCCCCTTGCCGGTAGGGATGGGAGAGCACTGCCCACATGTTGCGGAGAGCATTTCAGACATCGTGGGAAAGGATACAGAGCACAGCATGAGTCCTGGTCATGACTGAAGGGCAGGGGCTACCTGATGAGGTAGAAAATAAGATCCATATAGTCTCACAGCACTCAGATGCCTTGATAAGTATAGGTAGCGAGTCTGACAAGTCAATTGGATGAATCTGGTAGAGATGAGGAAAAACTAGAGGCCAAGAGGCCAGTGCAGAAAATGCTCTGGAGCCCTGGCCAGTTTGGCTCAGCGGTTAGAGCATCGGCCTGCAGTCCAGAGAGACCCAGGTTTGGTTCCCGCTGGGGGCACGTACTTCAGTTACAGTTTGTCCCCGACCCCGGTTGGGGTTGTGTGGGAGGCAGCCACTCAATGTGTCCCTTTCACGTCGATGTTTCTCTCTCTCTCCCTCCCACTCTACCTGAGCAAAGGTGGAAAGACGTCCTCGGGTGAGGATTAAAAAAAGAAAGAAAATGCTGTGGATGCCAGGGACAAGTAGGAGAGTATAGGTGGGCAAGGGTCTGGGTTGGGCTGAGCCCACCTCAGAAGCCAGGATTCAGGAGCCCATCTTGCCTGGTCTCCTTAGTGTCCAGCAGGCGGCACCACTGCTCCTCAGAAATGGAGGTGGCCGGCCAGTGGAGGAACCTCATCATGGTGAGCAGGCCCCTCCAAATTTTGGGCACTCCAGTGTACTCAAAGTTCACAGTGTACACAAAGTACCACACTACTGGGTGTGGTATGGACCATCTCTTTGCTTTGGGCTTGGAAACACCAAATATTCTTCAAACCTAGCTCTGGTTCTGAGACCCCATTTCCCCTGGACCCCATTTTACACCTGGTCTATTGGGCAGGGATGCCTCAGTGAGATTGCTCCTTGTACTTCAGGTTCATCCCTGAGTCCCCACGATGGCTCATCTCTCAGGGAAGATTTAAAGAGGCAGAGGTGATCATCCATAGGGCTGCCAAAATCAATGGGATTGTTGCACCTTCGGCCATCTTTGAGCCAAGTGAGGTAAGCACTGCGTGGGAGCTGGGGGGAGGGTCTTGGTGACCACGATGTGAGGGCAGCACTGCGAAGGCCAGAAGCTCTCCCTTAACACGGGAGCCCAGACCTCTTCCTGCCCTGCCCCAGCCACCCCGGCGGGCCCTGTTAAACTTCAGAAGCTGAGAAAAAGGGGCCAACTGCCTAAATCTTTTCACCTTTCCTGTGGATTTTAGGTTTTCATAATTTGTACACTTCTTTTCTAGGTAATCATAAGTCTTACCATTACTTTTATAATAAGCACTCTTTTTTTTTTTAATCCTCACCTGAGGATATTTTTCCATCAATTTTCAAATAGAGTGGGAGGGAGGAAGAGAGAGAAACATTGATGTGAGAGAAACACTGGTTGGTTGCCTCTCGCACACACCCCAACCAAGGCTGGGGATCCAACCAAAACCAAGATGTGTACCCTTGACTGGAATCGGACCTGTGACTCTGGTCTGAGCCAAACCAGCCAGGGCATAATAAGCACTCTTTATAAGTAATAGGCCTGTCACAAAGTTGGCATCTTGGGAGGTTGCTGTTTCTCACATTTTAGGTTGTTGCTAATTGTAAAAAAATAATGCAGTACATAATATATGAAGCAAACACAGATTTGGAGTTAGAAGTGTTCAGTCTCCTCCCGCCCATCAGTGGTTAGTGGTTGCATGATCTTGGAGCCAGGTCCTTTCTGACCCTTTGCCCTGCCTCCCCCACCCCCCTGCGAACCCTATTCGCACGCCATGAGTAACCTCTTGGCTTTGCCTGATTCCTGGGCCTTGTTCTTCCTCTTCTCTCAGAACTTCCACCCTCTCTGCAGCAGGCAGCTATCTTCAGTCTCGTGACAATGAGAAGCGGCCAGACGTCTTTGCTGGCTGATACAGTTCTGATCTGATGGGAAGTAGGGGACAGGCAGTGAGAACAGCCCCCAGCAGTCATGCTGAAGTGTGTGTGGAAGGCATGTTAGAGACACTCGGGACACGGTGGAGACCTGGGGCTTGGGAAAGAGAGACCAGTTACATGCAGCAGAGAAGCCGCTGGCCACCTCCAGCCCTGTCAGCCTTACAGTTAAGTGGAGGCCAAGCACCACTCCCTCCCAGCACAGATTGGAAAGGGCTCTGGTGCGCAAAGGTCAGGGCAGGAGTAGATCGTAGAAAGGGCTGTAAAGAGAAGAAGCTTTGGTGGCTTTTCAGTGAGGAGTCGGTCTGGGTGAAACCGTAATCCCACTGGCATCCTTGAAGAAATGAGGCTATTTCAGGGGATCCATTAAGTCTGAAGTTGACCTTTTGTTGAACTGCTAACTCTGGAAAAACAAGCTCCAAAGCTGGGTTTGCTTAAGAAAGAAACATCAGTATGTTTAGACGTGTGGTTTATTAATGTCCTTGGCTGTGCTGAATTTCATAGGAAGTTACTCTGGGTGAAGCTGAGGTCAATTTTCCTGTTTTTCTATCTGAAATGTTTTTGTTTTTGGAAGTAGACCAGCAACTACATGGTATGAAGACTCAAAACATTAATTCTTTTAAAATAGCAGATCAATAAACTACACAACCAGTTTCTCTCTCTGACCCAGAGGGCAGGGATCCAGCGTTGGGAAGGAATACTTAGAGGCCGCCCTGGAATGTGGCCACTGGCGGGTGGTGCTGGGAGGGAGCTAGCTGTCAGCTTGGGCCTCGCCTTGGCTGCATCCCCTGAGGGACTGGTCACCTATTTTTCCTCCTTGTTCTTTTTTTTTTAATTTATTTTTTTCTTTATTGATTTTTTAGAGAGAGAAGAAGGGAGAAGGAGAGAGAGATAGAAACATCGATGAGAGAGAACATCGATTGGCCACCTCCTGCATGTTCCCCACTGGGGATCGGGCCCACAACCTGGGCACGTGCCCTGACCAAGAATCGAACTGGCAACTTCTTGGTGCATGGGTCGACGCTCAACCACTGAGCCACACCAGCCGGGTTCCTCCTCGTTCTTGATCACTAATTTGTTAAAAGAAGATCTGGAGAAGCCTTACGCTGCTCAAGATGCAGTCACTATACTCTTCTTTTCAAGAAAGAAACAAAGCACTCTAAGTCAGAGATGCAGAAAGCCACGGTGCCAGGTTTTCAGGTATGTTTTTGGGTCTCTGAGTCTCTGATCTTCTCTCCTCCTATACCCTTGTCATTTTGTTCTTGTAGCTACAAGACCTGAGTTCCCAGGAGCAGCAGTCCCACAGCATTCTGGATCTGCTCCGAACCCGGAATATCCGAACGGTCACCATCATGTCCATAATTCTGTGGTGCGTATGTGAGACCTGTTTGAGGCTTCCACGCAAGGCGTCTGGCAGTGGCTGTCACCTCTCATTGGCAGACATGTCTTGGACATTCTGAAAGCCCACATCATCAGAATGTAAAAGGGATGTTTTGCCATCAACGAAATGGGCATGTGACAATTCTTGATGGAATCTCAGAAAAGGAGAATGAAAACTGCTGTGGGACTTTGGGGGGAATCATGGGACATCGGGATCCCTCCTGGTCCTGAGGCGAATCTTTGCTCATTCTGGGTCCTAGTGTAGTTGTTCCTGTCCCGTCTGCCTCAGAGGAAGACGGGTGAGGACTTCAGGAAGGTCTGAGTGAAGACACCAGGTTCTTTCAGTTACAGAGTTGCGAAGTACTTTCTGGAAATCTATGTGGAAGCAGGATCCGTCCTTGTGGGGTGTTTAGAGACTGTCCTGGAAGCAGGGCTATGCTTCCTCGTCAAGTTCCTTCTAACGAGGCATTTTACCAAGTGTGTCAGGAAGGGAGTTGAGTTGCCAGAGAGAGGGAACACATCCAAGTACCCAGAGAGCATTTGCTCAGGGGCCAGACCCTTGGGCCTAGCGGCCACTACCTGATCCTGCTGGGTGAGGAAGGCAGACTTCTCCTTAGAGTCCTTATTACTAGAGCCAGCCAGTCTTTGGGCACCCGGCCATTTTGCTCCATAGAGATTATGAGTCATCTATTTCCAAGGAATAGCCCAGGATCCCTCAGGGCAGTGCCGCACCCAGGATCTGCCTCAGACAGGGCCAGCTTCAGTCTGCACCAGAGATTTGCCAGTCACCCCTTGTGTGGTGCACCAGGCACTCCTCCGGCTCCGGATTTCCTAGGAACTCCTGCACATGCCCCTTTCCCTGATTGTACCAGCTGTGGTTTCAACCTGCACATGAGTCCAGTCTAACCCATAAAGGTCCAGTCTGACAGGAAGAATGCCTGCTGGGGGCAGGAACCAGGCCAGGGACACTGGGGTGGGGGCAGCATGCAGATGAGAGATGACATGGCCCCGCCAGCTGCCTCTGACCAGCCTCTTCCTAGTTGGTGGCCACAGAGGGTCTGCTCCAGCTCTGTCCAAATATTTTACCTTATTTGATCTTATCCCTCCAATCCTCACCCACCCCACTTGCTGTCTGCTTCCTGACTCACTCCCCAGCTCCTCTGCAGTTGCTGGATTTGGGGAGGTCCAGAGAGTCGGGAAGTCAGCTTTGTAAGAGCTTCAACTTAGGGTTTCTAAAGCCGACAGGCAGGCTGGAGTCAGATTTCTGTTTTCCTTTTTATCTAACCAAGTATATCTGTCTGAATTGTATATATTTTGCTGTTTGGATGCTCTGAAAGTGCTCTGGCCTGGAGTTTACACTGGGCCAGAGACTTGGTTCAATCTCCTGCCCTCCCCTAAGGATCATTTTTAATTTCCTGCAATAATTGCATTTGAAAAATTGCCCTGGTTGGGAGGCTTCTGGTGGATGCTGCTCCTCCAGCTTTCTTCTGCACTGTTTCAGGATGACCATAGCAGTGGGCTATTTCGGGCTCTCCCTTGACACTCCTAACCTGCACGGCGACGTCTATGTGAACTGCTTCCTATCGGCAGTGGTTGAAGTCCCGGCGTACGTGCTGGCCTGGCTGCTGCTGCAGCACCTGCCCAGGCGCTATTCCATGGCCACTGCCCTCTTCCTGGGCGGCAGTGTTCTCCTCTTCGTGCAGCTGGTGCCCCCAGGTAGGGACCATGTGTGTCTGTTGTCTGGGGCTTTGCTGAGTCGCTCAGTCTCTACCAGCTGTCTCCCCCAATTAATGAAGATAATAAAATAATGCCATCACAGCTCACCTGCATATCTTCATTCTTGGCCAGAACAATCAAGAGAAAGTATCTCCTGAGACCAGACACTTCTCGTGGCGCGGGGAGCTAGCGGGGAGTGGGCAGAGCAACCAGGTGGGACTGGTGGTTTGTTTCACTCTCTACCCAAGTTAGTATGTGCATATTTGTTTTTCTCCGCAGAGTAAGGGGGAGGAAAGACAGCCATAGCCATTACTCTTGAACTTGGCCCTTAGTCGTTTATTTATTCAACAAGTTGCTAGGGAGTGCCTGGGAGGGCTCTGTGCCCTGCCAGTGGTGCAGCAGTAAACCAATCAGGCAGAGCCTCCTGCAGCTCGCACTCTAGCCGAGGAGACAAGCAACAAACAAATAAATAAAGGCTTAATGTAGTGCAGACTGTTACCTTTATAATAACAAGAAAGGACTGTGGAGAGCTAGTTTATATAGGATGGTCACGGGCAGTGTCCCTGGACAGAGGCAGCTGAGAGAAACGTAGATGAAGTGATGGAGAAAGCCATGAAAAAGTCCAGGAACAGAGCATTGCAGGCCAAAGAAACAGCAAAGGCAGAGGCCCTGTGGAGGGAACAGGCCTGGCATGTTTGAGGAGAGAGAAAGAGCTGAGAAGCAATGAAGAGGGGAGAAGAGAGGGCCAGGTCACACAGAGTGGGTCTTAGGCCATTAGCAGGGTTTGAGTCTTTTTTTTTTTTGGTTAATTCCTACCCAAGGATATTTTTCCATTGATTTTTTTTTTTTTTTTAGATAGAGTGGGAGGGAGGGAGAGAGAGAGAAATATCAGTGTGAGAGAGACACATCAATTAGTTGCCTCCCTCATGAGCCCAACCAGGGATTGAACCTGCAACCCAGGAATGTGCCCTTGACCAGGAATTAAAACCAAGACCCTTTGGTCTGCTGGCCGACGCTGTAACCACTGAGCAAAACCTGCCAGGGCCAGGATTTGATTCTTAAAACTGTCTTGGTATCCCACAGATGGGGGAGACAAGCCCTTTCTGACAATTCATAGGACAGATTATGGACTCATTAGGGTACCTAGATTTGTCAGTGTTCCCATGGATTTGGGCGGGGCTCTGGGGATTGTTTGTGGGTCTCTGAGGCTGGCAGCACTGCACAGGAATAGCCCGCACAGTGGCATGGCAGGACAGCCCAGGAATACGTGTGCAGGTTCATGCCCAAGCTCAGGGCGACCCGTAGGCCACTCACAGCATCTCCTCATGGACACAGCAAGCAGGGTGGATAGGAGGGTCGGTTCCGAGGGTGTCCGGAGTAGAGCGAAAGCATGAACTGAGTTAGAATGGAGCTTCCCACTCCTCTACAAGCCACTAGCTCGTCCCACGGTGCCTGCAGTATGGTGTTCTAGAAGCCTGTGACCCCTTGTGTTTAATGACTGCTAGCCTGGAAAGCAGGTTTGTTGGGCACATTGAGGGGCTCGCTCTGGTGTCTTCGGGCTGAGGGGAAGAGCATTTGCTCACACAGCTGCAGGTCCCAGCCTCCTCTCAGTAGTAACAATTTAGAGGGACCTCTTGGCGTAGCCCCTTATCCCACCAGAAGAAGCTAGAGAAACTGCCCTCCCCACAAAAAAGGGAGAAAGTACGTTTGGTTCAGGTAGAAAAAAACAAACAAAAAACCCAGAACTCTCGATAGCAGTATACCTTGGGTTGGTGGCTTCTCTTACTTTCTTCCCTTTGCCTCTCCAGACTTGTATTATGTGTCCACCGTCCTGGTGATGGTGGGCAAGTTTGGAGTCACTGCCGCCTTCTCCATGGTCTACGTGTACACAGCCGAGCTGTATCCCACGGTGGTCAGAAATATGGGTGTGGGAGTCAGCTCCATGGCGTCCCGCCTGGGCAGCATCCTGTCTCCCTACTTCATTTACCTTGGTAAGTCCCGGGGCTGAGGGCACCAGGAGCGATGGGGCAGAAGCACTGATAGCTTTAATGTGAGCTGGAGATGGCTTGGCAACAGGAAAACAAGCACATACAGCAAATGGGATCCATCTAATCTTGGATCTGTGCCTGGAGAAGGTTCTGGTCCAGGTGCGTGTGCTGTGGAGAGGCACTCGCTTATAAATGGAAAATAACCTATAGACTAGCTAGAAACTGATGAGAAACGTACGGAGTTTTGTTCCTGGTGTTGCCACCCATCAGAGAACAGAAATCCCCTATCCTAAGAAACTGAAGTGGCTTAGGGAGCCAGTGTACTTAACTGGAGAAATCTCTTTTTGGAATCAGAATTTAAAAGGAACAGGAAAAGGGAAAGATATCCATTCAAGAGGGCAGTTGAACTGAGAATTGTTGTGACTTGGAACGTGTGACACTGGTTTAATCCTGTGTAAAGGTGCGCCTTGTGCCCGTTTCTTAGCAGGGTACCGTATTCTCTTCTTCAAAATTATTTTCTCTCGGCAGCTGCTGTTCCCCAGCACATCCCTCGCTGGCGTATCTTTGGGGAGGGGTGCACCCACCTTGAGGGTATCCAAAATACTTGGTGAATGTGCTCCATAGATCTGACAAGCAGAAACATCTTCTTGCTTGGCCTGTAGGCAAATTGAATGGGTTGAAACACATCTGGAGAGGTGGAGGAGCTATTCCTGTCCCTGAACAAGTATCTTGAGTTTCTCTTCTTTTTTTTTAAATATTTTTTTCTTTATTGATTTTAGAGAGAGAGGAAGGGAGAGGGAGAAAGAGATAGAAACATCAATGAGAGAGAGCATCCATTGGCTGCCTCTTACATGCCCCCTCACTGGGCATCCGGCCCACAACCTGGGCATGTGTCCTGACCAGGAATAGAACTGGCAACCTCTTGGTGCGTGGGTCCACGCTCACAGTGAGCCACACCGGCCAGGCTTACGTTTCTTGATACTATTGTGAAGTAGGAATAGTAATCATCATGGCTCCCCTCCCCTCCCCTACGCCGTGAGGCATGACTGCACCTTGGCATGTCAGTACCAACTCTGGGTTCCGAGACCTGTCTAGGTGAAGACTCCATTCTGGCAGCTCAGAGTGAGGCTGAGAGGGCAGGTGATCCCCTTTAGAGAGTCCTGGGAGCACAAAGGGATAGAGGGAGACCAGGTCTAACTGCACCCCCGGCTTGGGGCTCTGTCTGCTTTGCCCTAGGTGCCTACGATCGCTTCCTGCCCTATATTCTCATGGGAAGTCTGACCATCCTGACAGCCATCCTCACCTTGTTCCTCCCAGAGAGCTTCGGCATCCCCCTCCCAGACACCATTGACCAGATGCTAAGGGTCAAAGGGTAAAGAGGCTTCCTTTTTTGCCATGTTGATATACTGGGTCTGGGCCTGGCGGAGAATTCCCCACAAAGTCTCACAAATGCCATGGACTAGTTGAGCCATCAGAGGGTTAGAAATGGCAAGGAGATTGCATTCTATTATCTCTAGTCTGACCCAGATCACCATGTCACCGTGTCCATCTCCACAGCAACAGCAGCTCTGAGATAGTACGGAGACTAGGAGAAACCTGTCAGAATCTGCCGTAGGATCTTTTTCCCTTTAGCGAGATATCCTCAGTTCTAGGTTTGGTTTGTTTATGTTCTGAGACTGGCGGGCGTCTTTTTAAGATTTGTTACTAACATTTGTTTTGCTTATTTTTATAGAATAAAATACAGGCAAACTCCAAGCCACACAAGGATGTTAAAAGATGGTGAAGAAAGCCCCACAGTCCTTAAAAGCACAGCCTTCTAACAATCTCCAGGGAGTGAAAAGTGAAGAGGAAAGACTGGGTCTTGTCAGAAACAGTTTGCGTAGACACTGAGTCCTTCACTGACAAAGGTCTTTGCTGTTCATTCTTTGACCCTTTGACTTGCTCGTGGATGGGCACCTGGACCCAGAGCCTGCATGTGGTCCTAGAGCGCCACCTTCCCTCCAGCGACACTGTGACTACTGACAAACATCTTTAGAGAAGTCCTAATACTGTGACAGATCGGGCACTTCTAAGAAGTGAACTAGAACCAGTGGGATTTTTAAGAGTCTGAGTGATATCTGCTAAATTTACATATTAATTTCAGACTTCCTGAAAAGGCTTCCTGATAAAACTGGAGGTCTAAATCCCTCCCCCTAAATCTTTTCTCCCTTTTCTTCTAACAGGTGCACTTTAGGGGAAAAAGAAATAATTTCACAGAGAGTTTGATTTCTCACACTTCCTCAGTTACAAAGGTTATTAACTGGGATTGTTGCTTCCCCTGGGCAGGAGAGTGTGTGGAGAAACCTACAGGTAATTAACGTGGAGGGGACTGAGCAGGTACAGAACACATCCAGTGCATTGACTTGTGAGCTGTTGGACCATTCAGTGTGATTGCTGGGTAGACTTGTTTACATCTGATCAAGGCACTGGGCTTGTCCAAGCCCATAATGAATGCATCATGAACCTACTATTCTTGTTTTCATGCCATTTGAATCAAACCTCCTGGCTATTATGATTTCCGTGTTTGATTTAAAGGAAGTGTATCAGTGAGAAAGCTATTAACAGACTTGTCTTTCTCAAAACTATAATGTAGATTTTGTTTGTGTGTTATTTGTTGTTTATTTGTTATCATGTCTTTTTCTTCTTAAGTTATTTGCCCTCCGGAATAGACTTAAGAAAGACTGGTTCCTTAGCCTCCTGATTTGTGTCTTTTTATCCAACCCAGGATCACTCTGGCATTGGCTGCAGCTGCCACTTGTGCAAGGCCTTGCCAGCCGTAGCCCCCAGCACTTCTCCGAGTGCCCAAACTGACGTTTGTGTGGGTTCCTTTCGTGGTGCCGAACCATGGGGGAAAATTACAAAGAAGAAAGTTAAATCATGTTCACAGTCTTTCAGAGTTGCTCACTTCAGTCATGTGACATTGGGAGACACTTTGTGTTCAGTGTAATCGTCTTTTCGGATTGTTACCATGGTATTCCTGCAGCATATACTTCACCTGGTTAAAAAAAAAACACACATTTTGGGGAAAGCTACTGAAGTGCCTTGGGAAACGAAGATGTTTTAATAAATAAAATAATTTTTAAAATAACAGCAACTGCCCACAACCTTTATTTTCACAATTTGATAAGCCGTGCCATACCATCACCTGACTTCTGTGTCCCCTTGGGCTAATTCCAGCGGTGGTTTGTGATTAGCCTCCAGAGCTGAGATTTCATCCCAGTGTGCTGGAAAGCTTCACTCTATTCATTGACTCTGGACTGAGCCAGCACTTCTGTGGAGTTAGACGGTGTATTTGGGAACAAGATTCCGGGGAGCAGGAGTAAAGGACGGGGAAGAAACAGGGAAGAAGTGAGACCCAACATGGATGCATTATCAGGTTGGCCAGTGCCAACGGCAGGGCTCCACCCAGCCAGAACATCTGAGGAGCCCTGTGAAATGTATCTGAAAACTATCTGCACATAGATAAAAGGGGGAAGCATTTATATTGTCTCCATCCCTCATTCATCAAAGGCAGCCCCATAGATGTCAGCGCCCCATATTTCCAGGTTGCACATGCATAAGTCCCAAACAGGTCTGTCCCCTGGGTAGAAAGTGAGAGGTAATACATGGCAGGCCTGAGGTGGGGCACTGTCAGGCTGCACTTCAGTGGTCAGAGCTGCTGTGCACTCGTCCCTGCAACAGCCTGGAGTACGCGGTGGGGCTGAGAGGACTGGCCTTGGACAGGGCGCACACACACATATATAATGTGTCACAGGGCAGTCTGAGCTAGAACATGTAGATAGATCTGGGTAAAAAGCTCCAGTGTTGGATAGCAACTCAGGTGGGAAGGAAGGAAAGTTGTCTTCTCTAACTTGTTTGCTTCCCCATTCTCCTCAGGCCTGGCCCTGTGCTGGGTTCCTGACTCACTGATTACATAGTAGCTCCAGAATACAAACTGCAGCCCTGCCTGCCCTTCCTGTGGCATGAATGAAGAGTTTCTGAGTTATCTTTCTTATTCTCTGTCCCTGATTCCAGTTATTTGTGGCCTTCTGGGAGCAATCATCATAATTACTTAAATGCTTAGAGCTTTTACATGGGAACAATAGCCCAAATTACTCCCCGGGCTGAGTCAGGTATCTGGAAATCCAAGGCCTCTGTCCTGGCCTCCTGGACTCTTCTGTGGCTCTTTTCTATCAGAGCCATGACTGGGATGAGTGAACAAGTCATCCTGATCAGGATCTCCTCGCAGGAAGAGAGGCACGCATAACGTGTGATCACAGGAATGGTTGGTGAGTAATGAGGTGCTCAGTTAATACCTGTAAGAATTAGAAGCCAGGATACCCATACAAATAATAAGGATAAAGCAAAGGAGGTGGAGGGACAATTCAGATTAAAAATATAATAAAATATGTTCTACCACAGACCAAAATGAAAAAAGGGTTTACCCCATAATCTTTTCCTGTACTTTGGAACTAGTTTCTGTCTGCATCACAGCTCCCTGAACACTAATGAATTCCAGAAGGGCTGATGTTTGCCAAAGGGAATTATTCTCCTTAACACCCAGTCTAAGTGATGGTGAATGAGTTAGGCAGAGGGCCCTGTTCTGTTAGGTAGTAAGCAGCACAACAAATCTTTCCCTGGTGATTCATTTAATTCCTTTTCCTAACGGGCTCTTAGGCTGACACAAAGAGGCTTGATGCAATACAATACAGCATTAGCAATTTTTCATTTTGTGTGCCACTGCGATAGCAAAACACACTTTGAAAAATACATCTGTTTTCTCATTTGATCTTCATAAAATCCAGTGAGAGAGACAGAGGATGCCCAGAATGACTGAATCAGAGGTTTCTCAACAGAAATCACGTCTCTTCCTGGGGTCTCAGGCAGACCCACCCCATAAGATCTCACCTTGGGAAGAAGGGGCCTAATCTGAAGGACAGTTGTGCAAGAAGTTGCCCAGGACATCGGAACATCATAGCTCTGTTGGGCCAGCCACAGGGCAGCAGCCAGGCACCTGACTGACACTTTTTATCCCAGAAGTCTCACATAAGAAACCTCATAGACAGGTGGAGGAGGTGTGAAAATATACACATCAAGGATAGACTGCTAAATGCATGCAGTGGTATCAGTATTAGCAAATATCTAATAAGGGGTTAATATTAAAAATATATAAATAATTCCTACAACTGAACAATAAAAAAAAATTAAAAATGGGCCAAAGATTTGAGTAGACATTTCTCCAAAGAAGGTATGCAAATAGCCAATAAGCATATAAAAAGATATGCTAATAATTGGGGAAATACAAATCAAAACCACAATAAGATACCACTTTACACCCATTAGGATGGTTGTTATTAAGTGTGTGTGTGTGTGTGTCTTTGTGTCAGCCTAAGAGCCCATTAGGAAAAGCAACAACATATTAGCAAGGATGTGGAGAAACTGAATCCCTCATATGTTGCTAGTGGGAATGTAAAATGGTACAATTGTATGGAAAACAGGAAGGGATTTCCTCAAAAAATCAAACAGAATTACTACATGCCCCAGCAATCTGACTTCTAGGTATGTGCCCAAACAAATTGAAAGGGATTTAAACTTATTTGAATACCTATGTTCATAGCATTATTTATAACCCAAGCATCCACCAACAGATGAATGGATAAACAAACTAGTATATAAATACAATGGCATAATATTCAGTCTTACAAAAGAATAAAATTCTGATATATGCCACAACATGGATGAACCTTTACAACAGGGTAAGTGAAATAAACCAGACACAAAAAGACAAATATTGTGTGATTCTGTTCATATGAGTTACCTAGAATAGTCAAATTGATAGAGGGAGAAAGTAGAATCATGGTTTTCAGGAGCTGAGGGGAAGAGGTGATGGGAGTTAGTGTTTAATGGATACTGAGTTTCAGTTTGAGATAATGAAAAAATTCTAGAGATGGATGGTGATATTGACTACACAACAATTTGAATGTACTTAATGTCACTGAAATATACACCTAAAATGGTTAAAATGGTAAATTTTATGTATAGTTTACCACATTAATTTTTTAAAAGAATTGTTCATTTAATGTATAAGAGCAATAAACAAACATTCTTAAATATTAAATTCAAGCAACAAGGTACCCATGAATCCTTTTTGAAAGAAATTATTTTTAAATGAAATCCAGCCCAATAATAAATGAATCCATTTGCAACTCATAACAAAGAGCTAATTTACCTAAGATAAAAAGACCGCCTACAAATAATTAAGAAAAAGTCAACAACCCTGACATAAACAATACACAGAAATTGAAGTACAGATGACTTTTAAACTTATAAAAAAATTCTGTACCTCCTTCTTAAAAAGAAAAACACATGAAAACTATATTAAGGGATCATTTTCACCTATCCATTCATTCTCCTCTCTGTATAAATACAACGGAAAATGTTTTGCTGATATTAATAGTAATAGTTTTTATTTTTTTTTTTTTATCCTCACCCGAGGACATTTTTCCATTTTTGTACAGACAGTGGGAGGGAGAGAGGGGAAGAGAGAGAGAGAGAAACATCGATGTGAAAGGGACACATCGAGTGGCTGCCACCCGCACGACCAACCAGGGCCGGGGACAAACTGCAACCAAGGTACATGCCCCTAGCGGGAACCGAACCCGGGTCTCTCCGGACCGCAGGCGGGCGCTCTAACCGCTGAGCCAAACCGGCCAGGGCAATAGTAATAGTTTTTAGATGATAAGATTTGGAGAGCTTTTAAAGCATATATTATTATATTTTCTATAATGATTGTATTTTGTATAATGAGAATGCATAAGTTTTGTAGTGGTTTTTAATTTAAAAAATAAAACTGGGAATAAATATGCAAAATGAAGAACAAAGATGAATTCTTTTCTTCTGTGCACTTTTCAACATTTTAAAAAACTCCTCTAATCTTTTTCCAAACCTTCACACATTTTTAATGTAGTTCATTCAGCTCCTGATATGACACACACCGAGTTTTATATTTCTCCTTGACACTGCTGCCATCCATACATTGCCCTCCTTTGTCTCTGATTATCCCAATTCTACCCATGTTCAAGGTTCACCTCAAGCACATGCTCTTTCTGGGAGGCGCTATGCCTTACTGGCAAAGTGTCCACGCCAGGAGCAGATATGTGGTACATTTGGTCTAAAAGTGGGCTTCTCCACTGTCTAGCTCAATACATTTGGGCAAATCACTTCATCTTTCTGAGACTCAGTTTCCTCACATGTAAAACACATGACCTATTTCATTGGGTTTTATAAGGATTGTATTACATTATGCATGTAAAGTGCTTCGCAGTACTAAATTTGTGTTAACAATAATAATATTCTATTCCTCCTGACCTCCCCAATGTATTTATTGACTATACAAATAATTGGTCCTTATCATAGTCTGTTTGGTTCCATGAGGAAAATTATAACTACCTTGGGGAGAAATAAACAGGTCTCCTATCCCTAAGGTACTTAAGTAGTACATTCACTTTACATTTGGTAGTTTGTTTTGTTAAATTTTAATAAGTATGTCCAGCCCGTGTGGCTCAGTGGTTGAGCGTCGACCCATGGACCAAGAGGTCACCAGTTCGATTCTCGGTCAGGACACATGTCCAGGTTGCGGGCTTGATCCCCAGTAGGGGGCGCGCAGGAAGCAACCCCGATCAATGTTTCTAATTGATGTTTCTATCTCTCTTTCCTTCTCCCTTCCTCTCTCTCTAAAAAATCAATAAAACATATTAAAAAATAATAATAAAATAAATTTTAACAAATATGTTTATTCATTCATCCTTCAATGAGAGAACCCTCAGGAAAACATACCTCATGATGCCCACACCTACTTCTTTCTTTTTTTAGTCCAAGCAAAATAATGGTTCCTGGGCTTCCTGAAAGCCTACTAACAGAACATGTAGGGTCACCCCACGCCACCCAGCTTCCAAGGGTGCCTTGCTCAGGGAAACAGACATTAGCGCAAAAGTGCCTTTTGGAGTACTACCTTCTTGTTCTCATGGACTAACAGAGATTTCCA